TCAACAAAATAAGTATAAAATATTTTAATGCACTAGCAGGAAAGCAAAAAGGAAATTAAGTAAACAAAATTTTTATTGCTTAGTAACAGTGTACTTTATTAAACAATGTTTTATTAAAAGAATAATATTTATGATAGAAATTGCACTGGATGTTAATTCACGCTATGATGCACAGATTTTTATATCATTGTTTTATATTTAGAAAATACTAGTAGATAACATTTTATGTTATGAGGTACATATTTTTCCCAACCTTCTATTGTATCAGATTTCAGAACATCATGATCTCTTACCACATGGTAAAGTGGCTCATATCATACATATATCTCAAGTTAATACCTGCATTTTTCTTATGCTTTTATAGTGCCACATACATGCATAGGGATAACTTTACTATTACCTCGCCTCTACATTGCAGAAGAGTTATGTTGAGTCTTTGTCTATGCTTCCAGCTTATATTTTATTTAATGATGCTTTTAGTATCTCAGACTAAATAGCATTAAATGATAAGATGTTTGTTGAATAATGAATTGGAAAGAATATGGAAGGAATCAGTCGTGGCCTATGTGAGGGACTGAGGGAAACCATGACAAATTTCAGGTCAGGATAGCTAGTCTCTGAGTTGAGATCTGAACCTGGAAGTTCCTGTGTGTGAAGCAGGAGTTTTACCACTTGACTGCAACATTAGGTGCTTATAGTTTATGGTAGTTTGTGACAGCTTTTGACATTGAGTCTAGCAGCTGTTATTGTTGTTAACTGGATCCATAGGCACTGTGCTACATAATGGTGAAGTTGTTTAATAAGAATACATCTGTTTGGAGTGAATACAGGTAGGTGAAGTGGGCGTTGCATGGTTTTATTTTACCTGTTATTGCTTGTTTGTGATATGTGGTGGGCAGCTTGAAAGTTTGCAGATAACATTTAAGTGTCATAATTTAAAGCTTGCAACAAGTACAATACAAAGTTGTCTCATATGTCCTTCACAGAAGCTGTTGTGCCCTTATGACTTGCCTTGGACATACTGATGCTGTGTCCATGACCCCTGCCTGAGTGAGGGCTTTTAGAGTTGTTTACTCTTCCAGCAGGATGGGGCACCACCCCATTTTCATTTAGATGTGAGATAAATGCATGTGGGGGACCAATTCCTTGGTTGTCATTTTCCCCAGACCTGTCACCACTACGTTTTTTCTTCTGGGGTTTTGTAAAATGTAATGTTTGCAAGCCACTGATACCATAGACATTAGCAGAGTTATGGATATGAATCTCATATGCAGTTGACTATATAATGTGTTTCTGTGTATATTTATCGTTATTTCATGGTGACTCCTATAGCTCATTAAATTTCCCTAATTCTATTTGTCTCTCATATTGAAAAGCCTTGTATTCTGCATTTAAATGTGTATTTGTTTATTGCAGAGCGTTTGCGAGCATCAAGTGCATCCAGTTCTTCATCTGGATCAGGGGTAAGAATTAAATTGGGCTACTTTATTGCCATATCATTTATTACTGGCACAAGTATCATGGTGCAAACATTCTCTGACAACTGTAACACTGACCACTTATATTTGAGTAATTTTTATTTGATATATTCTGTCCTCAAAAAAAAATAGCTTATGTCTTAAGTGTATAAAAGGTCAGGAAGTATGTTTTGACTATTTACTGTCAGATTATGAAGACATTTGATTAACTGTATAATATTATTTGTTGTGTTTTGCAGAAAGATTCATCAGCCAACCAAAGTCCGTTTGTGACAACTTCTCATGGCCATCCAGGTTTTACCCCTCAAAAAGTGGGAAAAGGATCAAGTGTAAGTAAATCATTTGTCTGCCGAATATGTAAGACACTGCAAATTAAGATTTATCAGTGTGCAGTCTGAAAGTTAATGAAGTTGTTCATCAAATACAGAAAGCAAATTATGCTAAATGCATAGGAAACTGTTGTGCACTGGGTGCATTAAAATTATTGTGGGTTAAAAATAATTTTGCAAAGATAGTTCATGTTTATGTTGCTTCAGACATCTTAAAATGCTGTTGTAAGGTATTAATTTCACTTGACTGAAATGATGAGGTATTGATTTGTAAATACAATCTACATCGAATGGACTAATTTTTTTGGCTTGTGTTTCAGTGGCTTTATTTATAACACATTTCTTCTGTGTTTCTGATTGTAGACAAAAGATGCTCACTGAGCAGAGTAATCTGTGTTTTGTCAAACTTCTGATCCTTTTATGGCTAATCACAGGTTGGCTCATATTTCATTTGCTGATTGTTCTGTGATGGAGAGTTAGCACCAGATATAACAGTGTGTATATTTGGGGGAAGAAACCTAAACAGTAAAAAAGAAAGTGGAAAACTTCCATGAAAATGAAAGTTTGTTTATGTTTGGTATGAATTATCTATGTGTCAGTTACTTTGCTGATTGTCTATTTACTGTACGTGTTTTCTTTATATAATTTGTGTTTCATTTTCTGTTGTACCCTTGTATAAAATTGTTTCTTGTATAGATTTATAATATGTATTGAATGTGTTAAAAAAATTGACCATATTGAAGAGGAAAATACTGCAAATCTCTGTTTCTATTATGAATAAAAAGAGTATGCTAAAATGGGTGGTACATGATGCAGATTCTCTTAATTGGTTTTATGGCAGTGTGCAAGTTAAATGAACATTGAATAATTTATATAAACAGTTTCTGCTGTTTCAGGGGGACACAAGGGTGCCAAAACCACCCAAACCACCAGAAAAACCTCTCATGCCATACATGCGTTACAGTCGCAAAGTCTGGGATCAAGTGAAGGCACAGAACCCAGAGTTGAAGCTGTGGGAAATTGGGAAGATAATTGGACAAATGTGGCGTGACTTGCCAGAAGAAGATAAGACTGAATATGTAGAAGAGTATGAGGCAGAGAAGGTAGGATTGATAATGGTGAAATACAATAATAGTTGTTATGAACTTCAAGGTCTGTACATCTGATTGATTTTTAAATTCCTTGGTAAGTAAACCAAAATATTTCAGTCTTTTTCCAAATTTCATATCTTGTTATGAGTCTGATCTGTACTCAAACAATTATAATTGATAGTGATAATGAATAGGAGTTAGCATTGAGAATAATTATTAGTGAGAATGTTTTAGTTGTTATGAAATACACCATGAGGTGAAGAAAGACAGTCTATGTTTTATTAATCATTAATAAGTAAGTGGTTTCATATTTTTGGGAACAAAAATAATGAATCAAACATTTATTCATGGAGTGCAGATTAAATTTAGAAAGTGCTTGCAACCATGCAGTCCAGAATCTTATGTCAGCCGTCTAAAAAAATTGTAAATATTAAAGTATACTGAATAATACTTTTACTGATTGGTTTGTATGGGTGTGAAGATGGCTTTCTTTTCTCCAGTTTAAAGGCAGTTTTTGTGCCAGCAGAGATGCCAGCTTGTACAGAGTTTTCTCCTTCTGTTGCTTTTATTACTTGAGCATTGGAGATACAAATTTCAGAATATTTGAAGTCTGTATCAAAGCAAATCTTGCATTGATTGTTAAGGAAACTTGGAAGAGACTGAGACTGAAATTATATCCTTGGAAGTACTAAACAGGTTGGCATCTCTGAAATGTGAATTGTGCTGCACGCTTATTACTTATGTTACAGTTAGAGTATGAGAAGAACTTGAAAGTGTACCACAACTCTCCTGCCTATGTGGCATACATTGCAGCCAAGACCCGTGGTAAGTCTGGTAGGTTGACGCCCACTCAACAACTCTTGATGGTCGTCTTGTCTGGTGTCTGTACTTTGCATCTGTTGTGATGACATTTATGATCAAATGCCATTGATTATTTCTGTTGGTCTGAAGTAGCAGTGACAAAAGAGCAGGGAATACTTTCTGGATAGAATTTGAACATACATGGGCATTAAAGGAAGGAAACCTCCACATTTTAATTATTTTCAAACTCTACATCTCACTACACTCTCAGTGAAAGCTACTGTATTCACTGCAAAATGAACTCCATGGAGCAGAGTCCTTTTAGTTAATTATAGGAAAAATATGTTATGCAGTATAGTAAGTCTTGAATCTTTTGTATTTGATAAATTAAAGATCCTTGCTTCCTCAATCAATAAAGTGACAAACTGCAGACTAGATGAACGGTATTTGATTTCTGGAAGTAGTATTACTTTTGTTGTCACATTTACTCCAGACAGTTGTGTGGCCAAAACAGATTCTTACCCAAAGAGTTCTGGTGGTAAATACAGCTTGAGCTGTTCACTCGTATTTATCTAGTATTAAGGATAATTGGGTGTACACCTTAAAAATATGTGATTGTGGCTTCTTTGTCATTACCCACTGCTAATGAAGACTGTGGGTGTATGAAGTTTGATCTTTATTGACACTAATAGGAAAATTAAATCACCCTACTTACTATGTGGCTGCTTATCAGGCTTTAAACTCTTGTGCATTTTAATAGTTTACCAATGACACTTGGCCAGCTGGACTTGTCATCCAATAAAAGTTAAAAATCTCTTGTTATATGAAAAAATATAGTCTGTATATTTTTGTTAATTCTTACACTGCCAGTCAATTTGTTCATCACTCAAAGAGCAAATTTGTTAAATAGTTTAAGGCAGTAGTGATCATAAATGTTTGAGCAGCAATTGTCTAACATAGTACTGAAGAGTAACTACTGTTTTATTGCACAGAAATTATAATATTCCATGAACTGCATTTCTGTTATGCTTATTTGGTATGTAGTGATTTAAAAGGGATTGACACATGTTAAAGTATGTTATTCTGTGTTGACTGAGGTTACATTTGTTTTTCTCTCTCTTTGTTTCTGCTAAATGCAGTGATTGTTCTGAATTATTCTGAAGTGAAGTTTTTTTACATGGTTAAGACTGCGTTTTGATTAGTTTGTAATGAAATATTATTAGCAGGATCAAAATTAAAGAAATTACAATGGGTTAGACATGTTGGCTGTGAAATATTTTTGAATGAAAGTTTGTGATAAATTTCTAATATCTATCTTTAAATTTTTGAATTTATTTCAAGCTGGGACTTTGAAAAGACAAAATCAAATACTACGTTTTTAAGAAATTTTGGATTTACTCAGGATAAGCTCCAACGATAAGTTTTTGTGTTAGCTACACTGGATCTTTATGTCCTGATGCCAGAGAGCTAGTTATTACATTTCAAATAGTGTTGCATCTTTGTACCAAATACAAAATGTCAGATTTAATATGAAATGAAATAGTAGTGTCTTCCCTATCTCTTAACTCTTTATATATTAGTTTAATTTCATATGTATTTACTGTCTTCTGTTTCATAAACATAACCTAGAGCTCAAGAGTTTTAGCATAGTGCTTACGAGGGAACATGCCATATTCTTTTGGTATTTTTACTTATTGCTACAGTTCCTTTCTTCCCCTCCCATATCCCATTCTAATTTACAGTTAAGTAAAACAACATGTACAAAATTATGTTGTTACTTTAAACTTTTCTCAATCTCTTGCATTCTGGTATTGTTTATATACAGTATAATGTTTTAATTATTTACTCGCATAGTTTTCAGTTTCTGTTTAGTTTGAACTCTCTTGCATCACTGTTGAGTTCCAGAACTTCATTTTATTTTATTTGTCATCATATACAACCTAAGTACATGCATGAACTTAATTACTTGATACAAATGAATGGATTCCATAGGATCTCTTTAAGGAAGAAAACATGAAAGTTCTACTGGGTAGTTCACCAGATGATTGAAATTTAATGTGCAGCTTCTATTTTTGGAAGTTTGTAGGATTGCTAACTTAACGTTTAAGGGCTCTACATTTTTCTTGTTTTATTTTCTTTACACTGTAATATATGGTGTAGTGTGCTGTATGATAATGCATTAATATATTTTTCAACTAATGTATATGACAATTTGACTACAAATAGTGATCATTTGCAATGATCCATATTGGAAATCATTTACTAAACAGATACATATTCACTGAAGTTCTGCAAGATAAATCTATCATTGTTTTAAAACACCAAATAATGTGCCATATTCAGTCCTGTATGTATTTGTGCAAAAATTATATATTTGGCAGTTCACAAAATTTTTTGTTAAGTCACTAGTGGATTCAAAATTAATACTCCCAACAAAGAGATGCCTTACATTTTAATTATTAGGCATGTATAATAAAAATATCTTTATTAGATGCCACTTCTTCTTTGATGTGTCCACTTTTTTTGTTGGTTATCATACAAAGCCTCCTCCTGTGTTGAAAGCAGTTTCCAGTTCAGTCCACCACCAGTTTGCTGGACCTGTCACAGTTTCACCAGAGGCCCATCTGCCATTGTTTCAGGCTTTCTCCCCTACTTGATGTTGCCCTCATTCTGTGACAGGGACTCTGGGGTTTTTCTTTGGGAGGGGGAAGCCACTTAATCACAGCATTAACTTTATCTGTTGGTAGAATTCCAATCTTAATATTTGATTGGAGTTGGTTGCAAATGTTCAGAGATGTCTGTTGCTGTACAGTTGTATAAAATATCCTGGTCTCGATGTGTTTACAACACTGTTGCTGTCTGCCTCTGACATGTGTTGTACTCTTTAACAAAAAATAGTTTCTTTTGAAACCACTTGAGAGAATCCTAAAATTAAACAATCTCAGAATGTCAGTGAACATTTTTGCTATTGTGTTGTTCTGTTTTCATTTCCCAGCCCAAGCTGCTGCAGAAGATAGGGAAGCCCATGAGCGGTCATCTGTTGGATCTGGGAAACCTGCAGATCGACGTATAGACATCCAACCTGCGGAGGATGAAGAAGGTGACAGCTGAACCATTACTTTGGCAGTTTTTCTTTCAGTATGATTGGAAGTGCATGCTTTGCTTTGCTTTAAATTTGACTAGAATTAATTTTTGATTTGTTACAGACCAAGATGATGGCTATTCTGTGAAGCATGTGGCATATGCTCGCTATCTTCGAAACCATCGTCTTATCAATGAAATATTCTCGGATGCTGTTGTGCCAGATGTCCGCTCTGTAGTGACAACAGCACGGATGCAGGTTCTGAAGAGACAGGTGCAATCTCTCACAATGCATCAGGTATGTCTGTGTGTTATGGTGCAGCAAGGAATGTTATCTTGTATATAGCATACATTTATTAAGCAAATTGAATACTATGATTTTACTTTGGAGAGTTAATGTACAGCTTTATTCTTGTTTTTGTCATACTCATTTTTATGTCCTCCCTTATTTGGTTTTTCCACCGAGTCCTTTGTCTCCCAAATGGACATTTATTTGACATCTTCATTTTTATGCTGTCAAAGGAATCCTGTTGTCATCCTTGTATAACACATACCACAGTACTCTTTATTTTCACTTTCTATTTAGTGTCTGTATCTTAAATTGTTTTGTAAAAATGTATTCTCTACTGCTTAAAATATGCATAACTTGTCTTATTCCATGTCCAAATTTCTGTCCATATGTTGGTATAGGCAAGGAGTGTGTTTCATGTAATATAACATAAAATAAAATATTTATTCATGCTCTGTTGATATCTATAATTTCTTTATACGTTTTTAAAATTCTCTTAAAAAAAGTCTTTCAACTTTTTTCAGACAGTTGTTACATTTGTGTTTTTATCCACTATTTATCTTTTCATTGTATTTTCCTGCATTTCTTTTTTGTTCTCCCATAGCAGAGACAGAACGTGAATTAGTAACGCAGTAGTAATGTGATGCTTTAATGTAGTTAGTTTGTGTTGTGTACCTGTATGTAATAATGACCATTTAACTTCATGTTATAAAATGTTTTATGTGCAGAAAAAACTGGAAGCTGAGTTGCAGCAGATTGAGGAGAAATTTGAAGCAAAGAAAAGGAAATTCATTGAAAGCAGTGAGCAGTTTCAGGAAGAACTAAAGAAGGTAAGTTGTCCATTCTTCAAGTGGTTGTAAATGAGGATAATAGTTTTGGTACATTTTCAAGAAAAGTATTTAGTAATAAACTACTAAACACTTTTTTTTTGTAGCATTGTGTGCGGGCTGTGGATGACGAGGCATTTCAACGCATGGTGGAACGTCAGTATGAACTTCTGCGTAAGGAACGAACCAAGGATTGTTCTGATGATGACAAGTCACGTCCATCTGATGACTCTGGCCAACATCAGCAGCCCACACAAGCAGAACCGGTGGTGACATTAGCAGATGACTCTCAGCCGCCAACAGAGGTTATATTTGTATTCCATTCACATGCTGACAAGCCTGTTAAACAGATTGGTCACCACTGCCACATAGTGCAGAGTGGACATAGTTCTTGTTGTAGTAGCAAGTATTGTAAAAATAACATTAGCATGTCTCCTTGTCCAAGACAAATTTAAAAGCAATGCGTGTTGAAATATTTATAGTTTTGTGTAGTAGCCACCTTGAGTACCTGGGAAGATGATGGTAATTAAATTTTAGATTATTGTGATTGACAGAAAAGTAGCTAAGTTTGCAGTAATTAGTTACATCAATATTTATAACAATTTAAATTAGGGGGCTTCTTTATTTAGGAATGAGGTTCTCACCTTATATGCAGATAATTTCAGATTTGAGATTCCAGATCCAGTGTGAATTTTGTACTTACCTTCCCTTTATCTCATCTCTTACAAATTGAAAACTGTGTGAAAGTGAGGTATACCATGTGGACAGCATGTTGCCTTGTTTGAATAAGCTATGTCCACTCTGTTGACCATCATAAAGTGTAAAATGAATGTACTGCTTTGTATATAAAATGTTTATTTCTGCCTTCACCCTTATCATGTGGGTTGTGACAAGGATTATCAGAGAATGTGCTTGTAGGCATAAGCCAGAACAAGAATGCCGTTGAAATTACACTTTACTGGGGTTAATGTAAGTAGGTGTTCTGTTCACTTGTGTGCAGATATGTGTGTGTATGCACATGTGTACATACATGCACACAAGTTTAGGAAGATGACAGTGAAAACTGTCTCATTATTCAAATCTGTGATAGCATTCTCTTATTGAGTACTACTTCATATCTGAAATGTCATACTCTCTTCAGCTACGTAATACTTCTTGAACTTTATTTTCTTTTTGCTTTTAAGTCCATCATTTTAAACTTTGTGTCATAACTGTGGTTCCTTTCAGTTATGTATACTGTGGAATAAAGGTGTAATATCAGAGCATTTTATTCAGACAAGTGGGGATCTGCAAGATGTTTTCGAGGGACTAACTTAACAGGTAGTAGGGCAGGGAAGTAATGTTATTAATGTTTACATAGGAACATACTATATATAGTTAAAGAACAGTACTTTCTTTCTAAAGTTATGTAAGATAGGATGCCAATAGCTGGGATGACTGTATGCACACAGATGATGGAAGTGCAGCAGAATGGTGAAGCAGAGCAGCACACACTGGATCACAGCGGTGCTGGCACCATCGTCAATGCTGCTAAACAGACGGAATCTCCAGCTCAGAAGGGCGTGTCACCCACTCCAATGCCAATGCCTGGAACAGGGTCTTTTTCTCGTTCATCTACCCCTCAGCCTCCCTCCACTGCTCCGCCAGTATCCCAGCAGCCACCCCCACACCCTCACATGCCAACACAGCAATCTATGCTTCCTCCAGGATCACAAGGTCCCTATCAACAGTATCCCCCAGGTTCAGGCCCTGGGATAGGCAGTCAACCCCCACAGACTGTCCCTCTTCCACCGAGACCTCCAGTCCCTCATCCTCAGTACCCTCCATATCCACAACAGCAGCAGCAGCAGGCTTATCACCAGCCCTACTCGCAGTACCCTCCACATCCACATGCACCACATCCTTTTTATCAGCCGTACCAGTATCACATGCCTCGCCATTACCACCCACAACAACATGGAGCTGATGCCACTCACCAGGTAAATTTGTATCTTAGCTCTCAGTTTCTTTAGCTTGGGATATGCTTGCCAGTGAATAGTGGACGTTAAAGCCATATGTTATTATCTTTCTTCATATCTGAGCTGCAGTAGCATCAGTTTATGTACAGTTATATCATTTTTGTATTAACATGTCTTTAATTTTCTTTAAATTTTTATATTAGTAGGTTGTTGTGGATGAAAGGAAGGGAAGAAATTTTAGGCCTTAATGTACATGAATGTTGCAAGCAACAGAAGCATTTATGAGCACTGCAATAAAGGAAACTTGCAAATGGTAATCACTTTTGCTGCAAGTTGTGAACGCACTACCAGTATCTTATACATATTTTTCATGTTTACAGTTGACTTGTATGTAATTTTGTATCATAAACACCTAAATTCTTTGAGTGCTTCAAGTTTTATGTGCTGCATGTTTTTATAGGGTGTTGATGGAAGTGGACCATATGGACCAAACCCAGAGGTAGATCGTCCACTGATGGATGAGTCTGGAATCGGACCTGATCCATCAGGTCCTGACAATGGGAAATCCTCACATTCTATGGCATCAGGTAAAGAAGTAATTATGTATTATACACACCGACTGCCTTTCATGTTCTGTTATTATAATCACAGGTAACAGAAGAGAAACCTCAAGCCACATGCAACAAAATTTTACATTTTCACGGATGATTTGCCAACATTGTAAAGGGTTTAATATACAGTATTTTGTGATCTCGTTGCCTGTAAGCATTACGTTGTAATATTACTGTAATGTTTGATTTCCAGAGCCTGTAGGAATGAAAGGTGCAGGAATACCAGGAATTATTGAAGATCACACAGATAAGGGGATTGGTAAAGATGGAGAGCCTTGAGCCATGATTGATGGTGGTTACTATGAAGAGCAAAGTATCAGAAGGTGGATTGATGTCTAGTAGCTGTGAGTGTGGTACACTAATAAGTCTATAATGGATACAGGAGTGGGTCTGGATGAGGTTGTAATAAATATTCATTAAATTTTTGAAAGTAGTATTGTTTTTAAATGTGACACAGAATTGTTTGAATTGTGTCTGTTTCATTTTACATGCCACCCTTTGTTATATCAAAGTTAGGCATGGTAATGTAATGCCAGGAAATATGACTTGCCCATTTGTGTGTGAGAATCCTTCTTCCTGTTTTATGTGTTTATTAGAATTAGCAACTATCATCTCTACTTCTAATCTTAGCCTCTTTCAGTGCATTAGCTGTTGTCAATATATTGGTCATAGACCAGTAATGTTAGCAGTGCCTTTGAGAACATTTTACAAATATAGTAATGATAAAAAGAAAGCAACAAATAAACTTTGTGAGCAGAGGACTCAGTTTTGCCTCATCTTATTCTTACATCACAGTATGAAATTAAAATGTTTAACCTTTAAGATATAGGAATTTAAATTTCCTTACATAACTTCATGGCTGGGTTAAATTGGCAATTAAGTACTGAGAATTATAAAATAAATTGCAGTCTGTTCATTTCAATTTTTAACATAGAATTTTCAAGTAAAATGTTGACTATTGAGAATGAATCAGTTCTCCCCTTTATAAAAGTTTCAAAATTGTAAGCACTACAGCAGAGTTATATTGATTTTTAAATTTTAACCCTATTTATTTTTGTTTATTCATATTTTGTAAAGAATTGTGAGTACATTGTATCCTCCAGATCATCAGTAGCTCAGAAGTAGGGCAGTCCCTTTTCATTGTTTTCATCCATGTAAGGCAAACATATTTATGTGTTAGTCAGATTCCCGTAGGATACAAAAACCTGTAGATCAAATACTTTTTTATTTCCCACAGACTCAATAGTTTTGTTTCTTAGTAGATATATTCTTAAAATAGCTGTAATTTTTTTTTATTTAATTAAGGATAAATTTATTATAATAATATGGATTAGGTATATAAACATATGAATATGACTTTAAATAATGAACTTATATTAAAATCTTTTTCTTAATATGATAATGGTACTCACCAATAATTATTCTTGAGATCATTTGAAGGTTGGAGGTTCATGGAGGATGATTGGAGGCAGAGGTGGTGATAGTTACATAATCATCAAAGGCTTCCTTCAGTCCTTTCTTATTAGTTAGAAGTTTTTGTTTTTCTTATGTTTTTTAAAGAAATGAACCAGATATCTGCAGGGACACTGCGTCTTCCTAGGAATGAAAACTGTGTATATGTGAAAACATGCATATTGATGGCATGTAAATTTGGATATTCCTGTAATGACTGTATAGTGAGCCAGTCAGTATTGTCAGATACCCCTTAGATAATCTGCATTTTGTAATATAACCTGGAAAAACTTTATACATTCCTCATATTTCATGAATCAGTATTTTCCCACAGTTACTTCAAGAAACATAATGTTGTTGAGAACATAATTATGCTGCTGCAGTGTTGCATGAGGAATGAACACGTGCAATCCTGCTGGGTCTTCTTTCTCTTGGCCTTCCACGAGGTTCTTCACTAAGTCGTTCACCTACCACATTAGAAAAATGTGTGATTATGACTAATTAAAAATAGTACATATATGTAGAAAGATAAATACTTCATGCCGTGTAGAAAGTTTTTGTAATGACCCACTTTTTAAAAATTGAGAATTAAAAAATAGTACATATACGTAGAAAGATAAATACTTTATGCCGTGTAGAAAGTTTTTGTGATGACCCACTTTTTAAAAATTGAGAATTAAATTTAAATTAATTCAATCTCATATCATTGAATGTGTAAATTGAGAAGAATATTTTAAATAATACCTCATCTACATAACTATTATGCAAGAATATATAACATATAAAGAAATAAACATCCCAGACAGACATCATATACAGACAGGCATTCATGGTGTACCTTGTCTGAGGCATTGTTCTGATCACGAAGTCTCAGGGTGACCCGTTGATTAAATGGCCATTGCAGCAAAGGGTCCCATTCTCCCTCCAGCACTTGAAGTGAGGCGGTCATGTGGCGACCAGTCCACTGTCCTAGTCCATTCAACCTTACCTCAACCTACAATAAGGAAAATAGTAACAAAAGCAAGGCTTCCATGAATTTATATTTATTACAACAGTATTTGAAATTGTAGTTGTACATTTCCTCTGATTGATTTAAATTATGAGCACCACACATAGACCATACAAATATTTACCCGTAGCTTATAGCCATGCTGTGAACTGTAGAACACAGGACTATGTAGTACAGTACTGTTTTCCTTTGCATCGGTCATCTTGGCCTCAAAGTCTGAAATTGTCCATATAATGTGACCTGTAAACAGTAAGAAGTGGCTTTCTCAAATACTGTGCAGAATTTTCTATATAATTGAAGGCCAAAATTGAGATTATTACAATACAAAGAAAATTTTAGACTACCTTCTTAACTTTGCAGATTCATTGTTTCTGGACAGTATTGTTAATCAGATCTGACTTCATTGTTAGCCAAATAGCAAGCATTATTTATTTTGTTAAATCTATAACTTTGTTGATTGTGACCACTAGTGAACAGTTGGAACTAAGGACATGAAATTTTGCATGGAAATACATGAAACATGCCTACAAATTCTATGTGAAACATATTTTTATTACATCACAATTATGTTGGACTTTCTGAATTATGTAAAGCACTTTTGACACATTATTGTTTTGTAGTTGGCTCAACTTGTGTCATGAGGTATTTGTTTGCCAGCATAGTGACAAATATTTTAAATGTATTTTTTAATTTAGAGATTATTGACAGCAATGGACAGCATTGACTTTGGCACCTTTCAAACCCTAGATTTGTGTGCTGACCAGTGCATTGCTTCATCACGTTCACTTACCTGAAAAGATAGTGCAGTTGCCTCGAACTTGTCTTGTTATTGCTTCATCGCATTCACTTAATTGTTGTTTCAATTGTGCAATTTCTTTGAACTTAGCCTCTGATACTTTATTCAGAGACTCAACCCTCTCAGTTATACTGCGTACTTCTGCCAGCTGCTCAGCCCAGAGCCCACTGATCATTACGTTTTCACTGGAGAGAAATTCATGAAACTCGTCCACATCATGACAGTATTTTTCTACCACCTTTTTCATTTTATCAACTTCTCCTTTCTGCTGTTCCACTTGCCCCTTCCATTCTACTTCTCGCTTTACATGCTGTTCTTCTAACTGATACCGCTGACGCTCGTCTTCATCCCTCCATTGCTCTAATGCGCAAAACATATCCTCCAGCTTTGCTGCTTCCATTCTTAGTTCTGTTTCAGCTCGATGTCTGTGATTTCTCTCCTGAACCACTTCCTGCAACAACCTGTGCACTTCTTCTTCATGTCTTATCTTCCATGTTTCCATTTCATTTCTATATTCTTCCAGTTTCATTTTCAGGTCATTTACCTGTCGATACCAAATATTTGATTTTTCCACTTCATAAGCTAGCTGTTGTCCGATACGACATCTCTCCTCTCGTTCTTCCTTCAGGGATTCCTTTAGAAGCAGGACCTCTTCTTTGAGTTCATGAAACTGTGCCACTTTCACCTAGTCATTCAAATAAAACACATTTGTTACACAATGTGAAAATGTCATTGTGGCCCCAGCAGACAAGGCAAGAAGGAAAGTGGCAAAAAAGAAGTAAACAGTTAACAATAATTTTTAAAACTTTACAGGCTGTTACAGTGAACTACATGATCTATACCAGAGAATAATTTTATTTATTTAGTGTTCTGTCTGACGACAGGTCTATATGAACAGGATCCTTCCATCCTTTTCTTGGACTGGGACCTGTTCATATACGTTCTTGGCAGATGATCCAGAAGTGGTTTGCCATTGCCTTCTTCTGTGTGTGAATGGAGTAATTGTTGGGATGCCACGGAGGAAAACTCCGTGTTGCCTAGACCACGGCCTTGCCCAACACAAGTTATAAATTCGGGCACCGCCGGGAATCGAACCCGAGACCCCAGGATTACAAGGCCAGCATTCTAACTGTTAGACCACCGTGGCTAATTCAGAGAATAATGTCAGTAATTTATGCCACTACACTGTAGTCATGTACTTGGGCATTATAAAATTAGAGAGGAGGGTGAGGGAAGATTATTATACTCTTCTCGCTCTCAGATATTTAGTTATGAGAGCACTTTGTAAAAGCAAGCAATTTTTCCTAGCTTTTATTTGTAGATGACCGTCTTCTGTGTAGTCTGGTAGAAGTGTACCTCTGAAACATTGGTAAATTTCTGCATGATGCTACAACCCAGAAGACAGCCATCTTCATGTTCATACTCGCTGCTGTGAGAACCCCAAATCCTACATAGTTTTTCCTTACTCAGTCTAAAACAGATGCAAGTCAAATTAATTCTGATTACATATATCATTATGATCTCTATCCATGGTCATCCACGTAGTCAAGAACAGTCAAGTTCTTTGTCTTTTATGGAACTTGAAGTTTCATTACCATCTTCACAAGAACCCATCCCCAGTTCCTATCCTGAGCCAGATTAATCCAGTCCACACCCTTCCAACAGAATTCCTTTTATCTGTTTGAATATTGTTCTCCAATCTATGCCTGTGTATCCCAAGTTGTCTTTCCTTTAGGTTCTCCAACCAAAATTTTATAGGCATTTCTTTTCTCTCCATGCATGCCTCACCCTTCTAATTGTCCTTGATTTGATTATCCAGATTATTGCAAATTTATTTTATTTCTGACAAATAAGGTTTGCATTCAAGGTCAGAGATCTCCAAACCTTGAAATATATCCTAGATCCAAAAGATCATCATCTTGCAGCAGTATTAGAAAATGGGTGATTCTGTTGCTTCTAGAAACAGTTGAAAGGATGAACACATTTAAAAAATGTAATTGTTGAAATAAACTTGGCATTGTTAGTTTGTCCGCGCCCAAAATGCGTAGTCACGTAAAGGGTCCACCACAGATGGAAATTCCTGATACAATTATGTGTTTGAATAATATGCATCTTAAAAATAATGTGTCGCTAAAGTGTATTTTCCTCTCAAATGCAAATACCTGTGAGACTGCGTTATGAAGTCGGTCGTCAGTCATCTGCATGTGCTGATTAAGATTCTTCAGTTCAAGTTTCAATTCTGCCTGTGCTTGACAGCGTTCATTCTCTTCTTTGAGCAAAGCTTTCTTGACGACTGTCAGGGCAGCTACAACCTTCTCATTCCACTCTTCTGGTACTGCAACAGGCTGCAGTGTTAAGAACAATGAACAACATTCCAGAAAGTTTCAGTCAAGCTCTTAACAGATAACTGAAGTCTGGTTTAGTTAAACGGTAATCAGAGCCGAGATATTCTCATGGCCGTAAAGGCATTGGCTTTTGTCTTCCAGGTTGTTTCTGTGTGGTCTTTTAGTTCTTCGCTGAAGATGAAGGCAAACACACAAACTACATTGGTTAACAGAAACCGGTTATCATCCATCGTTGTCGCCTTCTTAAGCTTTAACTTTAATCTGATTATCTTCCTAAACTAAACCGTACATGGCTACCTGACGTCGAGTTTCACATTGCTGCGTCATTGGTACTGCATCAAAATTATGTTGTGGTTTTGTCGTCACATGTGGACTTGTTGTTAACTGTAAATTGTCTGTTGGTCTTCTGACGTTCATGCATTCATTACTCAAGTGGTGCTTCATTTCACGTCGCTCTGCAGTTACGCCACATTTGTTCGGACATCCTTCCAATACTAGAGGGCATTGTTTCATGTGTGCCTGCAAGTAAACGTTAAAACGTAAATTCTCTAGCCACAGAAAAAAATATTCGTTGGCTTTAAGTTTGCCAATAAGAATTTAGCTTGTACGAGACTAACATTTTTCCTTTAAAATTGCTGGATCTCCGTAACTCTTCGTGTCCTTTTTCATTGTTACTAGCAATAGCAACACTGGCCCTACATTCTGGTCAAATTAATCTCATTTTCTGGATTCATCTTAGGGTGACATTATAAATATTCTTATCTTCATGCAGAATTCCTTCTTCATCTTTAATTTTTTTAAATGAAGAGACTTAAATCCTCATACCTGCAGATGTTTTTCATGTAATACAAGACCACAGTAGTAACAGGTTATGGTGCGTCCTGGCCGATGAGGCTTGATGCCTTGTTGCTTCTGAAGACTGCTTGTGTCCAACATCCTGTTATCTGTAATCAAAACAAGCTCTTGTTTGTGAATTACTTAGATATGAAATATGGGAAACATACATTTAATTGTTCGTTTTCATCTGCTGTACAATTTAAATCCCCTGTACCATCTGAAAATGTTTTTCCAGGTGAAAAATACGGCCGGACCGTGAATCTGAACACTCACTTCAATATATTGAGCATTTTAGTCTATTTGTGGAATGGACGTAAATGTATCAAGTGGACTGGAATAGTGATATAACTCTAGTTTTGTATCCAGAAGGAACTGTGTTCCAATCTCGGTCGTGTTATCGGCAACAAAATTTTGGAAGGGCCTGTTGCCTCAATCTTCAGGCACAGAAAGTACAGACTATTAGTTTTTCCGAAGCATCAACCAACCACACGGCGTCATAACCCGAAGACCACAATCCTCGGTCGAGTGGTGTGCAGTCCTGATTGGTCAAGGCGATACAATTACATGGAAAGCCAAATGAAGTATATTCATACAAAACTTAAAATTCTGTTTGTAGATTGGCCTGTAAAACAAATTTAAACTTGTGGATACATAGAAATGGCTCAGTGACAAGAATATTTCACATTCAGCATTTCTGAGCTAAGTTTCTAACCGAGTTCAAGAATGGCGAATGCTTTTAATACCGTACTTCAATCCATTTCGGTTTTAAATGTCGTACATTATTGCTAGCAACGGCAAACCTAGCACTGCTCGTTCGTTATGTAACCGGAAGGAAGTCGTATGAATGGAACAGTTTTTATTTCAGGTTCACTAGCATTCCGACACGTCACAGCTGATGTGTCACCACAGTCCCGAACAAGAACTTCATATTCATTGTTGTTTAATTGTTCTCTAATTTAGATCTGTTGTTTCATTAAGCACTTTGGTTTCAAACACTTGTATATAAGTTCTATCCTCAAGTTAAAACACGCTTCCACCAGTACCAAACAACTAGTAAAAATTATTTAAAAGCCTATATCTTGGGTGTTTTAGAAATCATAAGAAATGATGATAAGAAACCTAAATTAAATATTACATGTCATCCATGAGAAGGGGTGTCCTTTTCTCTGGTAATTTAATTAATGGGATCGATTGGGGGATATGGAAGGAAGCAATCGTGAGTTTTCTTTTCAACTTAGCATTTACCTGAGAAAATGTGGGGTAGAATCTACCGCTTTGATGTTTTACCTTTTTCCTGCGAAAAAAAACCAGTTGTTTTTACGCACTTCGAACGAATGTCGCTGTCGAATGGTTAAAACTGCTACACATTCAGGAGGTCATGGGTTTGTCTTCGACCGAGCACCGGCACTCCCTTCATCAACATGCAGGAATAGTAAATGTGTATCATTAAACACTTTTTAACCGGAACTAAAGGCAGCATCGTTTAACAGACTATAAAAAATTCACGTCCCATCCCATCGCTTTTCAAATGGATGGGAAGGACTCTCGAAACACGTCACAAGGACATGATTTCCTTATTCGTGAGCAGTATAGTAGGCTACAATTGGAAATAATTTGAGGACAGGTTATTCACGACGATATTATGATCCTAACAAAGTTGTCTTACCTCTCCGGAGAATAAACATTTGCGCTGTTATCAGTAAATTAGTGGGAGTGGCTTATTTAGGGGCCTCTGGTTAGCTGTCAAATTGCAAGACTTGTGGCTTGTGATAACGGTATAGATCGTCTACATAGCCACGTTATCAAATTTCTACTAAAACCGGTTAATGACAACCGCCAAAGATTACGCACTTAAGATAAGGAGATAACACATCTTATGTTGACTTTTTTTCCTTAAATGAGGGATTCCAATCTTCAGTCCACCGAACACTCTTAGCCTCAATAAATTCAGAGAACCCACAAATTAAAACAGCCACAAATAGCTATAGGAAGAACACAGAACAGGGCTGATTTCATATGGTGTACAAAGAACGGCAAAGATAATGAAATTTTAAAGCATTTCTACAAAGCTATTCAGTGTTTCGAGTAAAGTTTTCCTACTTTTTCTATCACAGATACACTGGATGTTAGGAATTAATGTTAGAGACGTAGGTGTTACATGAAGATATTAATGGGCTTATTCATAATCTGACACAAAATTTCACACGTTTGTCTGTTATATAACACATAAAAATTTGTCGACTGATATTTTAGATCTTTACGGTGAAGAAAATGTGGGTTTCGATCCTCTGAGTTGTTATGCCATGTAGCCTTGTGGGATGATTACAAACCCCTCGAAGGAACTTTGGTAACCACCGCAGAGACCACGCAACGTCACAACCCAGAAGACACACAATATTTTTAGTGTCTTCTTCAGGTCCCACGGATTGGTCTATGGTCTTATCAGATAAAGAATTAATTATGAAATAATGAATTGTTTTGAATTTTTCGTGGGACTCACTGAAAGGAGAGTTGGTCAAATTAAGGTCGCAGAAAACAAGCAAACATCTCATATCCGCTGTGGAACACCACCGGTGCCTGGAGGTCCGACGTCAGACCGCTTGGCGAAATATTGATATTAACATTCAAAACTTCTTCCCAGAGTAAATTAAATTCTATTGCAATTACCGAACAGATAGCAGTAAACACGGATTACCAGCGCAATAAGTGATAATTACCTGCTGAAGAACGGAGGTCTGCCATAATGACGCGTGCAGAACTGAGGATACACTATCTCTGATGCGTAGCATGACGATATTTTTTTGTATAGTACCGAGAACAGCACGCCCTCTGCTATCCTTCAAGCCCGACTGTCCTCTGTTGCCAATGCGATACGGCAAAACTTACTTATAACGAAATAATTAAGAACCTGAAATTACTTTCCATTTCTGGCAGGTTTTAGTTTGACATAGGTACTACGTGTATTAGAGAACA